ATATGTATTGCTTTCAGCTGTCATCATAGTCACTCCGAATGATCATAAACAAACGTTTCAAGGGAATGGAAAGGAAGAAAACACAGGTTCAGAAAAATGGAAGTGGTCTCATATAATCAAAAGATGTTCATAATAGAGACTATTTTGCTTCTCGCTGAGAAATCTGAGCAACAGAACAAAATGCCTGGAACATTATACCCTTCTTTAAGTGTTGTCTGAATGAAAAAGCATTAGTTTACAAAGTGGTAACTGCAACAAATACTAATATTGCCTTTGGAGAAATGTTTCAATAGATAACTAAAAAGTCATGGATCTGACTTCTTGTAAGACATTAACTGTACCAAATTAGATCATTAAAGAACACCCTGTTTTATTTATTTATTTATTTATTTAATTTGGGGGGGGTCTGGTCATGGGGCCTGAACTCTGGGCCTGGGCTTTGTCCCTTAGCTCTTCACCTCAAGGCTAGCGCTCTACCACTTGAGCCACAGCGCCACTTCCGGCTTTTTTCTTTTTGCTTATGTAGTGCTGAGGAATCGAACTCAGGGCCTCATGCATGCAAGGCAAGCACTCTACCAGTGAGCCACCTTCCCAGCCCAGAACACCCTATTTTAATGGAAGAAACATGTAGTTTTAAAAACTTCACATGTGTATTACTATATTTTTTCCAAACAGATAAAATAAAAATGAAAGCATTGTACTAGCTGTTATGGTAGAGGTATCAAACAATATACTAATATAGCACTGGTAACTTTTCTTGAGTACTTAATACAAGGAAGAAAATAGAATTAATTTCAAGAAATCTTAATTAAATCAAAGTATCCTAAGGGGATACTTTTGAGATTTAATAAAATTGTGAGTACCTAACAGTTACCTGTGACAAAGAAATCAGGCACAAAATAACCTATTTTCCGAGTCATTTGAAAGGTACCTCATTTTCTTAAGACTATAACATGTGCATTTAAATTACAGCCCTGTGTTCTCCAACTAAGTCTTCGGTAAACACATGGTTGATAATATTCAGGCTCTTAGATTCCAACACCAATATGACAGTGTTTAAATAAATCAGGTAGTCTTAGAGGATTCAAAAGAAACTTAAAGCAAAATAACAATATATGTATTTCTGAACAAAAAAGAAGAGGAAATAACATGAAAATTAATGCTGTTTCCTTGTATGCATTTAACTCTGTAATTGATTATACAAAGGAACACAGCTCTTTTAAGTCAGGAAACCATTCAAGAAAGCTAATTCAGTCATTACCATGTAAGTTACCTAGGGAATATAAGACTAATTACTAAAGCTCAGACATCTTGGAATGGTTTAATAAAGACTGCTTACCAGAAGTTTCCAGAGCTTTACTAATGAGCTTTAAAAGGGGAAGTTGAAGAAGTGGGGAAGAGAAGGAGCGAGAGACATTCCTGATCACGTTTAGTGTTTCAACTATTGGACCAGGACAGCTCAAGCAAATAATGAGGCATTGGGTCCAAAACACAAAAGGGATGGATGTGAAGAACAGTCATTTCTTAGACTAAAATGCAGGTAAATTCTCCACAAAGCATTCTGGGTTTTGGCTTGTGGTTGGGAGACATCGTTTCTAATAGGATAATCAATATTATTTTTATTTTTATTATTCTTTTACTTATTTTTGGTGCAAGAACTGGGACTTGAACTCATGACCTGCATGCTTGCTTGAGTTTATTTTTTTTCTCGATGTTGGCACTCTACCAGTTGAACCACACCTCCACATCTGGCTTTATGCTGGTAAATTGAAGATAAGATCTTGTCTCATGGATTTTTCTGCCTGAGCTGACTTCAGTCTATTACCTTCAGAAACCAGCTTCCTTAGTAGCTGGAATTACAGAAATGAGCCACTGTGCCCAGTCAAGGGAAAGTTTTAATAGCAGATAAATACACACTTTGTTGACTTTGGCAGCCTTTAGTGGTAAAAAAAAAATTATATACATGGGGACAAGACACTTCTATACTTCCTTTCAGCAGTATTGGGGTTTGATTCGGGACCTCGAGCTCATTCAGCTTAACTTGTTTGGCTGTTACTCTACTACTCTAGCCACACCTCCATCCTTTTTGTTGGTTATTTTGGAGACAGTCTTACAAATTTTCTGCCTAAGTTGGTTCTGAATCATGAACCTTTGGATCTGAGCTTCCTGAGCAGCCATGAGCAGGGGCCACCAGTGCCCAACAAACCATCTAGCTTTTAGATTTTTTTTTTTGCCATTCCTGGGGCTTGAACTCAGGGCCTGGGCTCTGTCCCTGAGCTTCTGCCCCCCCTCCCATGCAAGGCTAGCACTCTACCACTTGCACCACAGTGTCACTTCTGGTCTTTTTCAGTTTATGTGGTACTGAGTAATTGAACCCATGGCTTCATGCATGTTAGGCAAGTACTCTGCCACTAAGCCACATTCCCAGCTCTAGTTTTGGGTCTTTTGACCACGGGTTCCACATATTTTTCAGATAGTTCCTAGACTTCTACTGTAGGAAGTTTCAACATCTGAGCTGGAGATGAATTTACTATATAGTCAGTTGGTTATAGTTTTCAGAACACGAGTTTTGTAATGTCTTCTGAAAGGATATTATTGCCTTTTTAAAGCTCACATTTTACTCCCCTATTTGACATAAAGTGCTATAAATAAATAAAATGGAAACTATTCAGCTACTTGACATCTACAATAATAGGGAATGTTTCTATATTACCAGCTTTATTAATAGGCAAATGTCCCCAGATTTGGCTAGCTACACTAGTAAAAAATTAGGAAGGAGAATGATTTATTCTAATTTGCACAGACTTCTGTGGGGGACTTACATAATTTACCTTATAAATATTTCTACAAAGTAAACATTATAATATAATACATATTCAAGTAAAGAAATAAATGACATGAGGACTCTTCCCTCAAAAGACAACAAACAATAAATAGCAGAGCCCTGGGTGTTTATTTAAATTGTTCCTGAAGGGCTGGTTAGGCCACTGGGAAGTTGTCATGGTTATTGATGTATTTTTTATCCTGAGATGGTTCTGTGATAAAACATATCATCCATCTATGTAGCTTCTATCATGATCTACGGCAGGATGCTCATACAGCCTTTGATTAAAAGAGATGGATGATTTTTTTTTTAAGAAAGAGGAAACAAAAAACAAACTTGAAAGAGAAAATATTGTTTAATTGAGTCTAATTTTGTATGAGAAAACCTGTGGAGAAAATTGAAGGCCTGGAATATTATCTTCTTCCAGATAGGATTTACTTTGGTGTCTGTTACTTATCTTGGCTAAAGGCAGATCTCCTAAATCCAACTGAGGTTGGAAATAATTCAAATGCAGTCTTCAGTCCTTTTGAGAACTGGTCTCTTCTAGGGATCGCTGGAAGCTCAGCTCGGTTCCTCTGCCTCTCAGACATTTTATATTCAGCGAATATCTGGTGAGAAAAGGCAGCCCCAAAGGATGGGCTCACATCTCTTGACTTCTTTCTCCCTGTAGAGCTTAGTCCTGTAAGCCTCCCAGCCCTGGCAGTTTGCCAATACCTTTAAATCACTGTACAGTCTATTTTGTTTTGTTGATAATTCCTTCACGAGACTTGGTCTCAATCAACTTAACAACCAGCAGTAGACACTCCAGCACCCTGCCTTGACTGTTGCTGTCACTTCTCAACTCTCTAGGTCATTATCTTGAAGTGGCCCTCTCTAGGTCAGTACCCCAGTGTCTACCTCTTCCTTTTTTTTTTTTTAAACATATTCTGCACATGCAAAAAGCTTTCAGAATCTTTCTTGCTACCTGTTGGATTGCAATTGTCTACATAACTCTCTATCAGATCTCTCTGCCATGAGGATCTCTGAGATCTAGTCTCCAACAGGATTGGGTAGCCTAAAGTATCCTTGAGATGAAACCATTCAACAAGGATCCCTCTCATAACCTCTTATCCCAGAATCCATCTGAGGAAGATGCTTAGCCACAGCTTGCAAAATGTCAGGACACCTGTATTTCCACCCATCCACTTCCAGCTTTGACCCAGTCACAAAACCATTCTTTCACTCCATAAGCTGACCAGAACCTCTCTCATACAATTAGAGGCAGTTAACACCAGTCACTGATGGAAGGAAGGCTAGGCGGAGCCATGAAACCATGCCAACAAGAACAGCCTTTCCTCAGAAAAAGAATAAAAAAAAACCCACAAAAACTAAAAACAAAAACAAAAAAACAGAGAGGAAGCATTCCCATTAATAATGCTTTAAATATAATACCTAAAGTAAGCTTTGAAATTATGAACAAGTAAAGTCATGTCTCTGGATTGTCATGTAATAAAATAACTTAGCACAAGTCGAAGCCTAGTGGAATAAACAAGGGAAAATCAGAATGCAGATGACAAAACAAAATCTAGAATCATCTAGACCAGGCATACATATACAATGACCCAGTTTTTTGAGAGGTGGAAGTATTGGGGGGTACATATGCACCCAAGCTGCCTACTGCTTTAATTAAAGTGATTTCTGTCTGACTGGGCTCCAGATTCTCCAAGCATAGTCAATGGCTCTTTAATGGCTAACCAACAAGCTAATGTCATCTGATGTTTCTTCTTTACATTATGCTCTTCACTATCACTCTGCTATGAAATTAGTGATGAAACTGTATAGAACTGTGTAAGAAGCTGAATTACTTTTTGTTCTCAAGTGATAACGTTTAAGGATAAATATCATCCTACATGCTCCAAGAGTTCTGGAATGCTCTCACATCTTTTTTATTTACAAAATAAAATATATAGACATGTTACAAAGATGTTACATAATCTTAGATATAATGAAACACATTAATTTGTTTGGTGGGCTTAAGATTTGGGAATTGATCACAGTAGCAGAATTTTAAGCAATGGAGATAGAGTACCAAGCATCTCACATGAGGGACTTTTTTTTTTTTTAACATTCTGATTATTTTCCTAACAAAAAAAGCAAAATATTTTTCATTCACATCACTTACGAGAAATCCTCTTACCTGAAGTTCTCATATTCTTCTGCTTGCCTTCTCCATGGACAGTTCTGTATATTTGTGATCATCTGAAGGTAATCACCCTCTGAGTACCTAAAAAGAGAAATGCAAATGTAAGAACATTTCACTTCATTAAAAACTAGAATGTGAAGATCTCACATGGTGATTTCTTAGAGTACATTTCCATAATTTAGCCTTCTACATCATTTCTGAGATCAACACCTAGGAACACACAACTTGCATGATGCTGGTTTTGGAATATGTGAATCACCTATCTCATAAACCAAATCCAGTGTTACAAACTGTGACAGCACACCACCTTGGGTATATACCTTATCATCATTGTATGCTATCTTTAACTCATTGACAAATAAGTAACACATCATACATACATAGTTAATTGATTTTTCAGAATGTAAGGTAGTAGATTTGCCTTGGGATTTATAGATAAAATTTTCTCCCAAATAACCTCCTTGAATTTTACCTTTGAAAAGTACATTTTAAACCAAGATTGGGATGAGAGAGTTGTGTATCAGCATGAAAACCTATAGAAGCATGGACAGCACAGAAGTCCTCACAGACCTCCCTCTTGCTGAAATTCCACCATCAAGTATGAATTCCTAAAGCAAAGAATACTGTTTCATCTTTTAAGGGTGTTCATTTGAAATGCAAATATGCCTTTGAATGAGAAAACTCTTAAATTACCTTTCAATTAATTTCCTCCAACTGCCAACTATCAGAGATCAAGGCTGGCCAACACTGAGATGGAGTATATGTTGCTGAAGAGGATGGGGGAGGGAATGGGGAGTAAATGGCTTTGTCTGGGAAAATTACATCCACATCAGTAAAATGAAAGTTCTGCAAAGTTTATCTCTAAAAGAAAGGATTTCGTATAGTTGGGGTATGAAGTCAACCAAGTGAATCCTTTGTTCCAGAAATTTATCTTCCTCTTGGGCTTCTCTCCCTTATAACTACCAACATGAATCAAAAGTGTTTTCCCTTGATTCCTACTGGTCCAGCCGAGAAAATCTGAAAATCTCAAAGGACTGTTAAATACTCAAAAAGAAGCAAAGCCAAGAGTTAGCATGGGAGGGATTAAAAATAGTTCTACACATAAAGGCTTCCAGCCCTAACAGATTTAGATCACTGCACAGCATCCAGTACTTGTCCTAGTACACGAAGTATCTTGAGGCACCGAGGTTTGACCCCTCAATCTGGTCCAAATGTGATACTTCCTAGTTGAAGTGAGTATTGTCTGTCTCTGCATGGTGGAAGATACCCAAAGATCCTTTGGAAATCACCATTAAACTCACATACAAAAATCTACCCAAAGCTTTCTCAATATATTCTCTTTAACAGACACACAGTACCATGAATTCTCTTCTGTCTGTAGAAACCTTATCTATGCCCAAAGTATGATTTTAAATCCTTTCATAATATTGGCAAGACAAAAATCAAAGCATTGTATGTATAAAGGTCCAAAACTAAGTAACAAAATAAATGTTCTGTCTCCCTCTCTCCCTTCCTCTTGCTTTTTCTCTGTTGCTATCTTGCAAGCAATAGGGCTTGAACAAGGTTTTTTACCTTACCTTTGATGTAAGAGCATTTAAGCCATGTCTCCACTCCTTATTATTTATTTTACTTATTTTATTGCTTTAATTATTATTCAGATAGAGTTTGGGATTTTTTTCCAGAAGGTCTTGTATTGGGACCCTTCTATGTATGTCTCCCTTCTAGCTAGCACTGTTTTTACATTCAACTTGTTCACTGAAATGTTGTCTTGTTAGCTTTATTCCTGGTTATATAACAAAATTTGATCCTCTCAGTCTCTCCTCCCAGATTACAGGCATGAGCCCCACTACACCTGGCTAATCATTTTCTCACTAATCTCAACTAAAGTAAAAGTGCAATGAGAGTGGGCCCAAATACAAATAGATTTTCTAATTAAACCAATGAGAATTGCAAATATATTTTGAATTGAGATAAAATGTAACAGGAAAAGTAAGGTACATAGAAAGTTGCCATCCTACCATGAAATTAAATGTTCCAGTTAAAATGTTTTATTTAAATGGTACACATTTGTTAAAAAAAAAGAAATTAAATTTCTCATGATGTATGGCGAGAAGTAGTGAACTTGAAGACTTAAGTATTTATTGCTAAATCCACTGAAAATTTAAAGCAAAAGGACAAAGCAGAATGGAAAATAAACAAAGAATCAGAGAGCAATGAGACTAACACCTCAAATGGCTTAACATATGTTTAAGAAAAAGGAGTCAAAGAAATATGAAGAAATATGATGGAATTTTTTCTTCCAAATTTAATGAAATCTATAAATCCAGAGGTCTGAAAAGCCCAGCAAAACCAAAGGACAAGAGATACAAACACAAACCACAGGAGATGTGAGAATAAAGGTCATTAAATCAGTCATCAGAGGAAGATATTAGAAGTAATTAGAGCAGAAACACATTATATATATTACAAACAATTATTTGTACATTATATACAAAGAGACAATGATAAGTGTGACAGCATACTTCTCATCCAAAACAATGGAAGCTGGAAGGCAGTGGAATCACATGAACACACAGAATGGGATTTATCAAAAACTGTCATTCCAGAATTCTCTGCACCAAAAAAAAAAAAATGTCAAAAAGTGAAGGTACAATAGGAATTTGTCAGACATATGAAAGCTGAGAGGATTCACAACCCATAGACCTATAGCATAACCAAGGTTAAAGGAAGGCCTTAGACCAAACTAAATGCTCTTGAGTCTATTAGTTTTTACTTTGGCTCACTTTAAAAGCAGAGTTTGTACTAGTTTGAAATCATTCTAACCTGTGTATCATGTTTAGTCCGGATCATTAAAATTGTCATCCATTGCCAATTAGAGTAGAAGTACAATGAAAAATATTTTGACAGTGATACACATCTTCCAACGAATGGTAGCTGGCTCCAATTTAATTCAATATTGAAAGATGTCAGTCATAATAAATCTGAATTTAATGGTAAAGCAGTTGCATAAGAAAGATGGATAGTGGCTGCGAAGGTGGCTCAGTGGTAGAGCGCTTGGCTTGCATGCATGAGGCCCTGGGTTTGATTCCTCAGCACCACATAAGCAGAAAAAAAAAGCCAGAAGTGGTGCTATGGCTCAAGTGGTAGAGTGCTAGCCTTAAGCTGAAGAGCTGAGGGACAGTGCCCAGGCCCAGAGTTCAGGTCCCATGACCAGACCCCCAAAAAATAAAAAAATAAAAAGAAAGATGGATAGATTTTGATTATAATTATAGTCACTGATACTTAAAGCCAACTGAGCACATTATATCAGACTCATCTGTTATACACAAAAGATTCTCCTGGCCCTTTTTACAGTTGGAAGACAGCACTGAAACTACATACTCCCTGAGAATACTGTATTCAAAGAATGTTTTGTATGTCTAGTCTAAAAATGAAGCATTATCCTCTGATCTTTTAAAGGGGAAGACTAATGTGGGTGGAATATTAGAGTGTTTCCCTCCTCTAAGTACTTACACTTCTCTACTTAAAAAAGAAATACATCACCAAGTAGTAGTTGATTTAGAACATTAAGACTGTCACAGGATTGTCAGATGACAAGGGAGAAGCATCACTGGAGAAGAAGTCCCACGGGTGCTACAAGTTGGGCCAATTTGTGGGATAAGTGTGTCTCTTCAAAGGCTGCCTATTAGGAAAAAATGCTCTAAATCACGTAAAAAATTCTGCACATTTACATTTCCAAGGATTTTCAGTTTACAAAATGTGGAGCCCACCATAAAATCTTGGGAGGCCAGCTTTATTTATGGTATTATTTCTGCTCTTAGGGATGATAAAATTAAAAGTTCTGAGAAGGTAAACAGCTCTGCCCAGGATTGCATAGTAAGAGGATGAGCTACGAATTAAATTCATGTCTTTTGATTCACATTCTGGCTCTCTTTCCAATATATCATGCTGCATCTCATCTATTTTCATAATGAAACTGAAAATTAATCCCATCAGAAACATTTATTGGTCCCAAGACATATAATAAATCACACTAAATAATGCAGATATTTTCAAAAGAATAAATAATGTCTACTTAAATCATTATAAATAATATCCAAAATGAGACAAAAAATTATAAATAACATCCAGAGTGATACTAAGTAAATACATTAAATGTTTAAATATATGAAATAACTATGTTACTATGTGCTTAAATATTTTTCTCAGAGTTGTCTCTTTGAAGATCAAGATCCACATGCTGTGACTAGTTTTGTCTCAATTAAGATAAAATTGGCTTTTTAATGCTTTAATTTCTGGGTAATTAATTACAGCCTTAAATATTTATTGGATACTTATTAAGTGCCTCAAAATTATCTTGGGGGTGTTAATTTATTAGCTCAATTCAATCTGCTATGACACTAATTTTTATAACATTTCTTATGTATGAGAGGGTACTGAGGCTTGAACTCAGGGCCTGGGTGCTGTCCATTAGTTTTTTTCACTAAAGGCTAGAACTCTACCACCTAAGACACAGCTCTACTTTTGGCTTTTTGCAGGTTAGTCTGAGAAGAGTGTCATGGATTTTCCTGCCAGGGCTGGCTTCAAACCTCAACCCTAAGATCAAAGTCTCCTGAATAGATAGAATGTGACAGGATGGACCCCCAGTGACTGGATAGTTTTTGTGCAAATCAATTTTTCCTGACCACTGAAATGTGTGGGAACATCCTAGCAATATTACATCAGTAGATTTCTGTGCAGATCAAGAAGTCTTGAGTAGCTGATATTAAATATTTTGAGGAGCTCATCTCTGCATAAGAATAAATTCTGCAAATGAGCATACTGCTTCACGGTTTTTAGTCAATTCAACAAATCATTTCCATTCAGCCAGACTTTGTAAAGAATGGCTGATGAGTGTATGAAAGATAAATGGAGAGAAGTGTGTGGCCTTTAGACTAGGTGGAGCCATGCAGAAATAACAACATTTCATCCACTGATAGCAGATGATTTCACTTTACCTTAGTTTTCTACTTGCATGATGGAAACTTCTAACTATCATTGTTTTTTATTCATAACTTCTGACTAGAATGTCATGTATATTG